GGTGGAGTGCCGTGGTGTCAGCGTAGCTCACAGCAAGCCTCAAATTCCTCCTGCCATCAAGTGATCCTCCTGCCTCCAGCCTCACCGTCCGAGGAGTGCTACTGAGCTACAGGCATGCACCACCTGCATGCCCAGCTAATTTTCTTCGCATATATTTTTTAGTTTGACAACAATTAACTTTCTATTTCTTAGTGAGGCGCGGCGTCTCGCCTCTTGCTTAGGCTGGCTTTCGAACTCGTGAGCCGAGTAGCGATCTGCCCGCCTCGGCGCCTCGCCCTCGGCCGGCCCTAGTCCAGCAGTGCTAGGATCACGGGTATGGAGCCACTGCCGCCCGGGCCTAGTCAGTGATTTAGTTTATTGTATTGTATTTATTATTGGTATTATTATTTATTCTATTTTTGTATGTATTTTTTAGAGACAGAGTCTCACTTTGCGGTTGCCCAGGCTAGAGTGAGTGCCGAGGCATCAGCCTAGCTCACAGCAACCTCAAACTCCTGGGCTCAAGCAATCCTCCTGCCTCAGCCTCCCGAGTAGCTGGGACTACAAGCATGTGCCACCATGCCTGGCTAATTTTTTTTTCAATATATTTTTAGTTGGCCAATTAATTTCTTTCTATTTATAGTAGAGACGGGGTCTTGCTCTTGCTCAGCCTGGTTTCGAACTCCTGAGCTCAAGCAAATCGCCCGTCTCGGCCTCACAGGCGTCCGCAAACTACGGCCCGCAGGCCACATGCGGGTGTTTTTGTCCATTTGTTTTTTTATTTCAAAATATGATATGTGCAGTGTGCATAGGAATTTGTTTATAGTCTTTTTAAAACTATAGTCCAGCGCTCCGACAGTCTGAGGGACAGTGAACTGGCCCCCTGTTTAAAAAGTTTGAGGACCCCCGTTTAAATGAGTCACACGCCATTCCAACCACAGAGCGCGGACCGCTGTGAATGAGCAGTGGAGGACAGGAGGCAGAGGAGAGGGCACAGGCGTGCGGACGCAAACACACGCACGCGTGGTTCCTTCGGGGGCCCGGGTTGGGGAGACCAGCTTCCCACTCCAACGTCTTCGTTCTGCATCTTCTACTAGGTGCCCATTTCACCTTTCCAAAAACCCTAAGATGAAGAGAAAAGGGGAGCAAATGCTCACAGGGGACAAGCCTCCCTCCTGAGACGGAGAATGCCGCAGAACTAGCTAGAGGGGTGGTTGCACAACACGCTGGATTCTGTTCGCTTTAACGTAGTTAATTGTATGTTACATAAATTTCACTTCAGTTTTTGAAAGAGACAACAAAACAAGGGAGTTCCACGACAGGCCAGAGGGGAGGCTTGTGCCAGCCGCAGCCCAGTCCCCAGAAAGGGGCCTGTGGGAAGGTAAGTTGGGGGGAAGCCAGAGTGACCCCGCCTGGTCTGGCTCTGGGCCAACAGTGTGCCCCCCACCCTGCCGAGCCACCCTGAGGGAGCGGGTCCCTGAGACACCGAGGACACAGCTCTGCACCCTCCCTCCACTCCCGGCCAGGGCAGTCTCCGCTCCCCACTCAGGAACAGGACTTGCCCAATTCTGGCCTGTGTCAGTGCCTAATGTCAACCACAGGACCGTCCGAAGCACTTACAGTAAGAGGAAGACGTCCCTGCAGGGAACGCGGGGGCCTGCCCAGGCACAGGCCGGGACGGGACGCATCTCCGGGATTGCCCTGGACAGACATGGGGGTGGGTGGGGCTTCCCTTCCTGCTGCCCTGCTGGGTCACCAGGCTGGGGGGCGGGGAGACTGGCAGAGTTGTAACAGAGGGTCTCACTCGGCCGGGGCCTGGGAAAGCCTCCTGGGAAGGGACCGTGCCGCAAAGGCCAGGCCACATGCTCTTGGTTCATCAGAGGAACTGACAAAAGCTGGCGCCAGTGAGCACCTGGGGCCACCCCAGGGACTTAGACCCAGGCCGGCCTCCCACCTGCACCCCTAGCGATCACCTGAAGGCACAGCAGGAAAGGGCTGGTGTTAGGTGGCAGTGGAGGAGGAGCATGCCAGGATGCGTCCATCCTCATGTCCAGTCTGGGTAAGAGGACGAGTGGACAGAGGTAGTTTCACGGATGGTGAGCAGAGCCCCACAGTAGCCATGGGAAGGGAGTGAGGGGCGCCTGGCAGTCTCGCTGGGAGAGAACTGGACGGGGAGGGGACATCTGTGCTGGGCTTGAAGGAAAAACGTGTTTCCCCTGGGCTTGGTGGCTCACGCCTGTAATCCTAACACTCTGGAAGGCCGAGGCAGACGGATCACTTGAGTTCAGGAGTTTGAGACCAGCCTGAGCAAGAGTGAGACCCCATCTCTACCAAAAATAGAAAAAATTAGCCAGTGTGGCGATGCATGCCTGTAATCCCAGCTACTCGGGAGGTTGAGGCAGGAGGATCACTTGAGCCCAGGAGGTTGAGGTTGCTGTGAGCTATGATGACACTACTGCACTCTAGCCAGGGTGACAGAGCGAGACTCCATCTTAAAAAAGGAAAAAAGGTGTTCCATGTGTCTTTATATTATATAGATACACAATTAGAATATAAGATATTAGAAAGGACATTAATATTGACTTATGTAAACATCCCAATAAAATATTCTCATTTTGAATGAGATATGTGAGTTTGCTTTTTGATACTGAGTTTTGCAAATGAAAGAGACCATACAATTTTTTAAGAGACAGGGTCTCACTATGTTGCCTAGGCTGGAGGGCAGTGGCACGATCACAGCTCACTATAACCTCAAACTCCTGGGCTCAAGTGGTCCTCCCATCTCAGCTTCCTGAGCGGGTGGGACTACAGCCAACCACCACCATGTTGAGCTTTTTTCTTCTGTGGGATTCTTGACTTTTGACAGTGATTCCTGATGGCTCCTGTCCATTCCCCGAACATTAGCTGAGTGCAACCGTGGGACAGGCACTAGGGACAGAAGGAAATAAGCAAACCAGGGAATCACATGGTCTGCAGTGGCTGATGGCAGCAAATGGAGCACAGGACGTACCTGTCTCCTCAATGGAGAGAAACTTCTCACCGGCAGCCTCCCCCAGCTGATGCCGCCTCTTCAATTCCACGCGACGGGGGCAGCCCATCCCGCATCTGCTGCTGCTGCTACTCGGGTATCCTGGCGACAGGCACCTGGAGTTCCCCACCCCCCAAGCCCTTTCACAACAGGTGTGTCACAGTGAAGTTATTCTGTCAGTTCTCTCTTTTTTGGAGAGGGAGTCTACTTTGTGCCCAGGCTATAGGAGTGCCGTGCAATCAGCCTAGCTCACAGCAACCTCATCTCCTTGGCTCAAAGGTGCATGCCTGCTGGGCTCAGCCCCAAGTAGCTGACGCGACTACAGGCAGTGTGACACCATGCTCGGCTGTTTTTTGTCTTCTTTTGTCTTTCTCTTTTTTTGGACAGAGTCTTGCTTTTGTTGCGCAGGTGCTAGAGTGAGTGCGTGGCGTTCAAGCCTAGCTTCACAGCAACCTCGAATCTCCTGCCGCCAACGTGATTTTCTACCTGCCTCAGGCTCCCAAAAGTAGCTTGGGACTATAGGCATGTGACCAACCATGGCTGGCTGTTTCTTTTTTCTTTTCTTTTTTTTTTTTTTGAAGACAGAGTCCCTGGCTTTTGTTTGCCCATGGCTAGAGTGAGTGCCGTGCCTCAGGCCTAGCTCACAGCAACCTCGAAACTTCCTTGGCTCAGGATCTCCTCCTGCCTTCAGCCTCCCGAGTAGCTGACTACAGGCGCACTGCGCCACCACGCCGGCTAATTTTTTTCATATAGTTTTTAGTTGGCCCAATTAAGTGTTTTTCTATTTAGTAGAGACGGGGGTCTTGCTCTTGCTCAGACTGGTTTGACTCCTATACTCAAGTGATCTGCCCCGCCTCGGCCTCCCAGAGTGCTAGGATTACAGGCGTGAGCCACCGCGCCCGGCCTGCATTTTCACTCTTTCAAAGCTGGACTTGGCCACACGCCCACACACTGGTTCCCTGCGCGGTCGCCTGTTTATCACAATCATTCGGATGCTCCGAAGTATCAGTCCAGGAAACCGTTGTTCAAACCCGCTAACCAGCCAGCCTCCACAAGTAGTACTAAAAGGCAAAATTATTCCTACAACTCTTTTCTCCCGCCCATCTTTCGTTGATAAGCTTTGGGCTGCACGTGTCCTCGGGCGGTCAGTGCGCTGCAGCATGACACGCAGGGACAGACACAGGAGCCGGGTAGCGGGGACGGCATCGGCCTGCCCACGTGCCCCGCATGGCAGGATGAGTGAGGCCCCGCCAGGCCAGGAGCACCTCGCCGGATACGCCGGCTGTGACTTGTGATGCTGAGTGAGCCGCCAGGTGACTCTGGACCCAGCAGTCTGCAGCAGAAGGTTTCTTTGGTGTCGTCTCTGTGTCATGTGTCTGCATGACCCCGTGCCCACTGACTGCTTCTTCTGTGGTCCCAGGCAGGGTGGTGAATCCCACAGTTCCGTAAAAGGAGTGACTCTGCAAACGTGTGAGGCCTTTTGTTTGCAGCGATGAATCACATGACGTGGTAACCACTTCTTGAGCACAATCTGACACTAACATGAGGAAGAACACTTAAAAAAAGCCATACCAGATTATTTTTTTAAAATCCACATGCTTTTGTACATCACACAGATGTAGCATGAAGTGCCCCTGAGGCCTGCGTGGCACTCCTGTCTCGCGTGGTAATTTTTCCATGCAAACAAGACATTCAGGCCGAGGAAGAGAATCATCGAGAAGCCACATTTGAGACACTGGCTACGTTGCCTAATTAAAGGCAAAAAAATTTTTTGGGGCCGGCGTTAATCTTGCTTGATGACATTCTGGACTTCGTAAAAATGCGAGAAAGTCAGTAACTATGAACGTTAAATCCGTTCCTGGAGGCTAGAAAAGCCGGGCGATCTATACGGGATCTGTGGCTTGGTTCACGCATCGCGTCCGTGTCAATTGCCCTGTTCTGATGTTGGTGTTGGGGGAAGTTGGGAGAGGGCGTGGGGAGACTGTACCACCTCCGCACCTCCTCCTCAAATCGAATACTTCAAAATAAAAAGGTACAAACACTAAATTATTAAATATAAAATACTTAAGGAGACTGCAAAGGCCTTCTGGGTTCAGGAAATAGGTTAAGACAAATTTGAAGGCCTTCTGAAATTGTCAGAATGTTCTAAAATACATTGCACTGAAAAACTCAAAAAATTAAGCATGCAGCTTATAAAAACAGAAAACATTGAAATACTTTAGTTTAATGATTAAAACTCTGAAATATTCATAAAATCTAAAAGATTTCCTCTTCTAAATTTTTAAAAAACTGATTTTTATGAAGCCCTAAAGGCTATAGTCTGCTTTACTGAATTCATTTTTATTTAAAAAACTGGTTTAAATTAGGTTCAATTTTTTTTTTTAAATTTTTTGTTTTTGAGACAGAGTCTCACTCTGTTGCCCGGGCTAGAGTGAGTGCCATAGCATCAGCCTAGCTCACAGCAACCTCAGACTCCTGGGCTCAAGCGATCCTCCTGCCTCAGCCTCCCGAGTAGCTGGGACTACAGGCATGCGCCACCATGCCCGGCTAATTTTTTTTCTATATATTTTTAGCTGTCCAGCTAATTTCCTTCTATTTTTTAATAGAGATGTGGTCTCGCTCTTGCTCAGGCTGGTCTCGAACTCCTGAGCTCAAGTTATCCTCCCACCTCAGCCTCCCAGAGCGCTGGGATACAGGCGTGAGCCACAGCGCCCGGCCAAGGACAATGATAAGAATAAAAAAAGAGATCCTTTTGTAGTTCACAGGCGTGATGATTGGGTTGTCATGCACACCCGTGAGATATGCCTCCCTGAAACCTTGCTACGATGCCAGCACTTCACCTGTCTGACATATAAAAAAAAAAAAAAAGAATAAAACATAGATAAAACTGAGAGACAATAATCACACATCAAAAGTTAGCAGAGATAAAAGGCCTCAGCCCCTTCAAATGGAGGAGACTTCTGGTGCCCCCTCTCTTGGGGTCCCAGAACCTCGTCCAGGAGTGTATAATGAAGCCACATGGTTTGGTCCCTCTCCCTCCCAAAAAAAAGTTAGTAGAAGATACTACATTTAGAGAAACTAAGTATGTCACGCACATACACACACAGAGCCTTGCTCATGACGTCAAAACCGTGACTGAGTGGCCTTGGCCCACCTGTTCTGGCTGTCCAGGGCGGCCGCACAGAACCTGCTGGACTTTCTCACCAGAAAATCACCCCCCCACCCCACCCCCCACCCCGGCCAGGAAGTCTGCGGTGCCCCGGGTGACAAAGCGAGGATGAGGACGAGCACTGCAGGTGCAGCCCCGGGGAAGGCCCTGGGGACCCCTCCGGCTGAAGAGACCAGACTTGGACCCCTGGAGTCAACACGACAAGACTGTGTTTAATGAACACCTAAGTCGGCGGTACAGACCGGGGCTGTGGGACGCAGGGGGTGGGGAGGGCTGCCTCGGTCAGTGGGGTGAGCGGGGACACCCCCTCTCAGCCCGCTCCCCTTGAGGACAGCAGGGCAGAATGACAGGCCAATTTCACAGTTGGGCAAACTGAGTTCCAGACAGGCTTACCAGCTTGCCCAAAGCCACAGGGGTTCCTGGTCCTTGCTCCTGTACCACCATGGCCCCGTTCAGAGGTGACACAAACAGATGGGCAGAGGATGACAACAACCCCCTCCCACACAGGAAGAGCAAGGAAACCAGCAGAGACGGGCACAGGCTCCCCGAATGGTGCCGGCTGGAGTCACGTGGGGGTGGGGCGGGGTGGGACCCCTGGCATCTGCACCCGTGACCCAGGCCTCCATGGCGCTGGCACAGCCCCTGGGTCTCTGCTTCTCCCCTCTTCTGTCTGTCCGTGCTCCCCTCAGGACCAGCTGAAGGAGGTCACAAGGCAGGAGGGAAAGTCATGGGCAGGGCTGCTCCCTGCAGTGCCGTGGCAAGTCCGCCCCGCACCTCCTGTGCACTGCAGCCACAGGCTCAGGCTGTGCAGGGGCCCAGGCCCCCGGGGGCTGTAGGAGGAGAGTGGCAGAAATCTCTGGCCCATGACCGGCCATAGCGCCGAGAGGGGCAGAGGGGGGACGTGCACCACGTGGGCCCGGGAGGGCGCAGGGCCTGCGAAGAGGAGGGGCAGTGGGCAGGCAGCTGGCCACGCTGGGGGTGTGGACAGGAGCTGGGCCCAGGTCACTGCGGCAACGCAGGTGAATCGGGGCAGCCACAGTGGCTGCAGGGGGCTCGGGGAAGCGGTTGGGCTGGAGAGGCGGCGGCTGGGAAGCCCGTGGGTCCCGGCTTCTCTGCGCAGACCCTTGGAGGTGTCTCAGGCTGGTTTGGGTCCTTCACAGAGGGCCCCTCCTCCCAGGGCCTCCCCTCCAGGCGTGAACCCAAGGCGAGGCCAGCAAGAGCTTCGGGCCCTGCAGAAATACAAGGACATGAGGTCAGCCCCCTCCCTGATGGCCGGGGTGCAGCCCTCAGCAGTGGCAGATGCAGCCCTGGGGACCTGCGTGGGGTCATGGGAGCAGGGCCAGAGGCCAGGCAGAGGCTGCTGGGGCTGGGGTGGGCGGGGGACCTGCCAGGGCGCAGGACCAGCACCTGTCTCTTCCCAGGACCCATGCTTGGGAGGTGAGCAATGCCACGCAGCACCAGCAGGGGGCCCCGCGGCCCCACACTTGGCGGCAGGCTCCTGCTGCATTTCCTGAACCCCAGGCCGGAAGCCTTCATGGAGATGGGAGGAGCCCCCACCCACAAGGCCTCCAGCTCAGGACGGGCCCCCCACCCCCAAGGAGGACCAGGGCACTGGGCAGGGGAGCAAGATGCCTCTAGGCAGGTGCTGGGGTGTGGGGCACCTGCCCCGGGAGGCAGGTGGGCCCCAAGAGCCAGTCCAGCCATGCCAGGCTCGGCCCCCAACCCTGCCCACCACGCCTGCTGGTCCGTTCACACTCAGCTCCCTGGGGAGGAGCCCACCTCTGCCCCACCACCCCATGGCGGGGGCTCAGTCACCGTTGGCGCAGGCCTGTCACTGAGTGTCAGGGTCTTGGAAGCCCCAGGCCTCGATGGCAGCAATGAGGAAGTTCTCAGAGCAGAGGGGCTGGTTGTTGAAGGTGTCACAGTGGCCCGTGCGGCCCCGGTTCAGGTCCCCGTCGATGTAGAGTGCCTGGCCACCGCCTCCCCCTGTGGGATGCTCAGGTTAGGCGCCGCCCCTCCACCCAACCGCAGGGCGTCCCCCTCTAGGGCCCTGGGCACTGCCTCAGGGTCCCCCACCTGCCAGAACCCTCTCTGAAACCACATGCCGACCTATGACCCTCCAAAGCCCCTGGGTGGACAGGACCCTGCTCCCCAGCCCATTTCTCTGCCCCTCCTGCCTGGCCCACTCCAGGCAACCCAGGGTCCGGGGGCTCTGGTGAGGCAGCTGCCGTCCTGGTGAGAGGCTGGGCAGGGGCTCAGCCGCCATCATCCCTGTGCCATCCCCCAGGGTAGGCAGGGCCCGCCCGAGGCCCAGGGGGTGGGGGACCCACCGATGATGAGGCAGTCACTGCCCCCCGCCATGAACATGGACTCGGTCTTGGAGGGCAGGTTGAAGTGCCGCGTGGCCAGGAACGGCGAGAGGCGGTCCGAGGGGTCTGAGGACACGGGGTGGCTGAGCGTGGCAGGGGCGGAAGTGGTCTCCGAGGACATGAGGGACGTCGGCTTGGTCAGCTCCGGGTGCCTGATGACCACCCACTCGTAGCGCTGCACCTCCGGCTGCAGCTGGGGCAAAAGGGCGTGAGGGGCTGGTGCCCGGGCCCCCGAAAAAAGGCCCGTCTTCATCCTGAGAATCTTTATCCAGAGCCCGAGGGGGGTCGGGGGGAAGCCAGGGGCTTGGGAGGTCGTGGCCAGGCAGATAAAGCCCCCGTCAGGGAGCACAGGGTCTAAGAACCAAGACCCAGAGAAGAAACAAGGAAATTGTCCTGTAGGTACCAACCACAAGGAAAGCAAGGCAGGGTCCGGGAGGGGGGCTGTGCTTGGCCCCACTCACCCTAAACACGAAGCATTCTCCGGTCCCGAAGAAGCCCAGCTTGCCGCCAAACTTGTGTCTCTCGCTCCAGTCTGTTGACAGGTAAGCCCCACACACCTGGGGAGGAAGGGGTGGGTGAGGCCGCCCCTGCCATTCCCGGAGTGGAGCCTTGCTTCGGGCCTGCCGAGGGAGGGGCCCAGCTGGGGGCCGTGCCGCGGGGCAGTCTCCACCACCTCTCGGGACAGCAGCAGCAAGGGAAAGGCAGAGTGGGGTGGGCGCACCCCCTTTCCCGCCAGGGCTTGGGGCTGGCATCGAGGGCGGTGGGTGGTCACCTCTGGGCCATCCTCATTCCCCTCCATGGCCTCGAGCACAGGCCAAGCCCCATGTGCTGGCAACATCCCGGCTCTGACTTTGACATCAGCCAGGGGAGACACGGCCCCCAGAGCACCCTGCTCCTCTGGCCCTCCTCACCTCCTTCTGCGTGGTCTTGATGAGCAGGAGGGTGGGCTCGTGTCCTTCGCACTGGAAGTAGAACCTGGGCCGGAGAGCACACGTGCCAGCGGCCGCCTGCACGCCCTGCCCCGCAACCCGCCCCGCCCGCACAGACCCTCGGCCCGGCTGTCTGGGGGTGGACACGCCTGGGAACTGTGCTTCCTTCTCTCTGGGGACCAGGCTTGGTGGCTGAGGACCTGTCAACGCCCTCGCCCTGGCCTCTTCCCACCAGGCCCTTCTTGGCCATCCTGGGCTCGCCTGCCCTGGTGTGACCAGGAGAAGCTGCATGGCAGATGGCCCCGAGGGCAGCGCCGAAGGCCAGGGGCTTCGGAGAAGTGAGAACCAGAGGAACAGGTCCCACGGCAGGAGGCTCGGCCTGCCCTGCGGAGCCTGGCGTGTGGGGAGCCAGCGGCAACGGGAAGCCTGGGGAGGTGCCCAGGGCTTGGCCGGCGTCCCCGGTGCGGCCGGGTGGTGTGGCTCCAGCAGCGCCAAGACGCTCATGGCGCTGTGGACGGTCTGCCCGGGGGCTGGGCCAGCACCGTCTGCATCACCTCCGCCAGGTCACCTGGGGCCCAGGCCAGAGCTTCCAAGGCCACCTGCCATCCGGGGCTCAAGGGGAGCGGTGCCCGGCAGAGCCACCTTGGAGGGCAGTGTGCCTGGGACCCCCCACCAGAAACCCAGTGGGGGCGCAGGGGCAGGGGGTGAAGCCAGGGCCCGCCGCCCATGTGCGCCTCTCCCCACAGCTCTGTGGGCTCCTGGCGTGGGAGTCCCGCCTCATGTCTTGCCGGGGCCTAGCCAGGGCCCTGAGCTGTGGGGAGCCTGGCCGGGACCCCCAAGGTCTGGGTGGCCTGGGAATGACAGACGCCCAGAAAAGGGGCCCACGGTTCTCAGGCGCCGCAGGGAGAGGCAGGGCCTCACCAAGTGCTCCAGGCCACGTCCAGCCAGCACAAGCAGGACCCGGGCCAGGAGGCAGCTCCACAGCTCGCCCTGGCCCTCCGCGCACCGCCCCCCGCCTCGGGGCGTTACCGTGTCAGGCTGTACCCATGCTGCAGCGAGGAGAACAGCAGGAGGGGCTGGCAGAGGGCGAAGCGCTCGGGGACCCAGGACCAGATGTCTCTCATCTCCTTCACGCTGACGATCTCCGAGCGGAAGTTCTCTGCGTGGACGGCCAAGTGCACAAACTGCCTGGGGACAGCGGGGAGGGGTCAGAGTCCAGGGAGACCACGGCCCTGCCACGCCCCAGCCCCCGAGCTGTCCCCGGGAGCCTCTGTGTGGAACTGAGCCTGGAGGGAGCGCCTCACCTGCTGGGCCAGGTTCAGAGCCTGGTTCCCAGCGGGACAGGAAGGACCTCCCGCCCGACACAGAGAGGGAAGAAGGCCCAGCTCGCGTTGGGACAAAAGCGCCTTTTCTCTAGGAAATCAGGACAGAGAGTGGCTGCTCTGGCAAGACAGGGCTTCAGGGCCAGCCAAGCACCGGACACAGCACAAGTGAGGCACGCGGACAGACAGAGGGGCCGGCAAAGCCGGGCTGCGAGAGCCAGCCAGCCTGGGAGACAGTGAGCGGCCGGAGCGGAGACAGCGACAGAGACAGAGCCAGCGTGGAGACGCGCTTTCAGACCTACCTTTTAGAAAGTGAGACACTGAAAAACAGGAGGAAGCAACGGACACGGAGAAGAAAAATAAAACAGACAAGGAGAGGTTAGTGGTGAGCCCCATCCCCAGACGCACCTTCCTCTGGCCCAGGAGAAAGAGGGCTCCGCGCCAACAGGCCACGCGGTGGCACGCTCACAGTGCCGGCTGCTGAGCCGTCTTGGGACACTGTGTCCCTTCCCTACCTTGCTCCCCAGGGCCTGTGCTCAGGGCAGGGAGGCCACGTCCCGCAGCCACGGGGACGGCTGGCCACGCAGCCCAGAGCTGAAGGGCGGCGCAGGGGCTGCTCTGAGGTGCCCGCTGGGGGGCGGACCCGGCCCCCCAGGCCTCCGACTCCACGCTCAGCACCCAGCCCCCATCTCAGCCTGGGGCCACCCTCTCCGGCAGGACCAGGAGGGCCCTTCCTGTCTTCCAGGGTCCTTCTGCCCACTCACGACAGGCGGGCAGCGGGTAGGCGGCCCAAAGCTGGCAGGCCGCGCTCACCCCCGCCCCACGCACGTTCCGCCCACCCAACGGCCACGGCAGCCGGGCGGCTCCTACCCCTCCCGCTCACCCCGGCCCCACCCGGCGGCCCGCGGCTCCTACCTCTTCTGCTTGACGGTGATGCCCTTCTGCTTCAGGGCCTTCTCGTTGGCCATCTGCAGCAGCTGGATCTCCTTGCGCGAGAACAGGCGGATGGCGAACGCCTTCTCCAGCAGCTTCTCAGGGGACACGGTCTTGGCGATGTCCTTCACGAACTCGCGGATGTCCTGCTTCACGTTGTCGGACTCGAGCGGCTGCCCGGCCCGCACCTTGTGGAAGAACTTGAGGATCGCCAGGGCGACGCGGTACAGCACCTTGTAGCCTTCCACCAGGAAGACATCAAAGACGCGGGCGAAGTGGCTGAGGGGCAGCTCCCCGAACAGCCAGCGCTGCCAGTCCGCGTACACCTGCAGCACGTCCTCCGACACGGCCACCATCAGCTTGTGGGCCGCCTGGCAGTACTTGTTCACCAGGTCCCCGAACGTCATGCAGGAGGACTCGAAGGCCAGGAAGCTCTGGTCCACCAGCTTGCGGCCCGGCTCGTTGCAGGCCAGGATGCGGCAGGCCTTCTCGAAGCACTCGGCCTCGTCAGCGCTGTAGTGCAGCAGCAGCGCCACCACGGCCGGCAGCGCGGGGCAGAAGGACACGTCGGGGAACTGGTTGGCGATGCACAGGAGGATCTTGCGCACGGCCCCCTCGCCGCGTGCGTTCAGGCAGTAGCTGGGCACCTGCGTGTTGTCCACGAACTCGGGCAGCGGCAGGCTGCTGGCGCTGTGCTTGCCCACGATCTTGCCCACGATGTCGCTGTACACACTGGCGTCCGGCGTGACCGTGCGGCAGGGGATGTCTCGGATCAGGCGCTGGTACACCTTCCCCCGCAGGGCGTGGCTGCGGGCCCAGTAGCCCTGGCGCGCCAGCTGCTTCAGCTCCGGCAGCTCCGTGCAGCTCAGCTCCTTGGGCCCCAGGTCTTGGATGGCGGCCTCCATCTTGTCTCGGTCCACAAAGCAGTTGTACCCCAGCGAGTCCATGGCGCCCGCCGTGCCCCGGGGGAGGCCCCGGCTGCCGGGAGGGGGACCCAGAGGCGCTAGATCCTCCAGCCCCCTCTCCGAGGGCCTCCCGCTAGCCCGTGGGCCATCTCGCTCTGCAGGAGTAAAAACACGGTTTCAGTGCGTGTGTTTAAAGGCTCACACTGTGCAAAACATGTGTTTTGCTTTAATCTCTCTGCACGAATCAGAAAGGCACCAGTTAAGACAAGTGACTATTCTGAGATGCCGTCACGATCTCGAGTTAGCTCGTGGCGTCACCAGCGTGGTCACGCCGTTCTAACGAGGGGCCGGACACAGAGTTCCCGGAGGGGCTTCCAGAGCAGACTCTGCTGAAAACAGCTCTCTGCTGGGGTGGGGGGCTCACGCTAGCCCCAACCACCCCCTGCGGCCGGGGGCTTCTGAGAAGGAGCTGGCCAGCTCCGAGGCCTTCAGCCAGCCGTGTGCGGTAGGGAAAACACACATGTCCCCTGGTCCACGTGCCGGGGGCTGGAATTCTGAAGCCAGCTCCGAACTTTATAAAAACCGTGAGCTCGAAAGCTCTGTTCCAGGCAGGTCACTCCAGAGCAGAGTCGCTGGTGGGGAACAGGCAGGTGCAAGAGGGAGAGGTGAGGACCAAATGGAAGGTGTCGCAGCTTCAAAATCAGACACTGCGGGGTCCAAAGGAGCCAGGAGTACTGGCGCTTGGTTTCCACGTCGGGCGGCCGCTGGGTGCGGGCAGACATGAGAGAAGCGGGGCAGACATGAGAGAAGCGGGGAAGACGCGCTTTCCGAGGCCGCGCGAGGACGGGCGCTGCCGCCGCCAAGGGCTGCTGTCCTGGGCGCAAAGTGCAGCCTTTGCCCACTCGGGGCAGACCGGCCTCCCCGCCTGGGGCGGCACAGCGTCCAGACAGGTCACAGAGGCCTACTTTAGTGTGTCCTGGCCTCCCGTGCATCTATTTCTAAAAATAGAAAATGCAAATGCTACTTTAAAACATCGAACGAAAGGCAAAAAATTACAGTGTGAAAAAAACACGCCTGTGAGACAGTCTTGAGAAAGCACTTCGGTACTGCGCCCTTTCCCGTGTGGTAAGATACATGTGACATAGATTTACTCTTTCAGCCTTTTATTTATTTATTTATTTATTTATTTTTTTGGGACATCCTGCCACCCAGGCTGGAGTGCAGGGGCGTCATCTTAGCGTCACGGCGCCCTAGAACCTTGAACTCCTGGCTGCAGGTGATCCTCCCACCTCGAGCTCCCAACGTGCTGGGATTACAGGCGTGAGGGGCTGAGCTACTTTTAGCCATGTTTTACTTTTATTTTTAAATTTTTTTTCGGCTCACTCACTCACTCTTCCACTCTCTGAGTCACCAGTTTTAGCCATTTTTAGTTCAGGGACATTAAGCACTGCTGGGCGACCGTCACCAGCATCCGTCCCCTGAACGTTTTCACCTTCCCAAACTGCAACTCCCCACCGCCCAGACAACCACCGTCCGACCAGGACAGGGGCCTCGTGGGAGCGGGATCCCACGCGTCCGCCCTTCTGTGTCCGGCTTACTTCACTGGGCGTGACGTCCTCGAGGCCCAGCAGCCTCACAGCAAGCGTCAGAACGTCCCTCCTCGTGGAGGCTGAGTGCTACTGCGCCCGTCACACGGAGACCACCTGATTTACCCGTCGTCTGTGACAGACACTGGGTCGTTCCCTCCCCCCGCTACTGGGAAGGACACTGCTATGAACACGTGTGAACAGTGACTTGGGTCCCTGCTTCCGATTGGTGGGGGACACGTCCACCGGTACTGTTTCTGCAGGGACTCCCCTCCACAGAAAGCATTGATTGAAACAAGGTTTTCAGGCCGGGCGCGGCGGCTCACGCCTGTAATCCCGGCACTCTGGGAGGCCGAGGCAGGTGGATTGCTCTAGGTCAGGAGTTCGAGACCAGCCTGAGCAAGAGCGAGACCCCGTCTCTACTAAAATTAGAAACAAATGAATTGGCCCACTAAAAATATATAGAAAAAAATTAGCCGGGCATGGTGGCGCATGCCTGTAGTCCCAGCTACTCGGGAGGCTGAGGCAGGAGGATCGCTTGAGCCCAGGAGTTTGAGGTTGCTGTGAGCTAGACTGACGCCACGGCACTCTAGCCAGGGCAACAGAGTGAGACTCTATAAATAAATAAATAAATAAATAAATAACAAGGTTTTCTGATGAAAACATTAAGATCATATTGACTCTGATATGCCCACAGCAGGACGAGGCCACTGCCAGGGCCACCACCTTCCTCGCCGGAAGAAAAGAAACCCTTAAGGCAGTTGATCAGTTTGAGCTGTCCCAGAGGGACGCGGGAGGGCCCCCTCCTGCCCTGGCTGCGAAGGCCCCGCACCCGTGCCCAGGCCACGCCACACGCTCTTCCATGAGCAGCCCCTCGGCTCTGGGCTCACTGACCTCTGCAGCAACCCCTGGCCCATCCCGTTTGAGTGAAAAGACCTAGCTCCTTCTCAGGGCAATAAAGGTGTTTACAAACAGAACAGGAGCCGGGCAGGACAGCACCAACCTTCGCTCAACCGGTCCCAGGTTCAGGTTGAATATTAAACTGGAAACTCTAAAAGCGATTGTTGCACCTTGCAGAGTTCCTCCGGGGAGAAGCAGACCCTGAGTTTTACGACGCAGCGGGCGGTCCAGGGACACGCTGGATTCAGAGGGTCACCGAGGAAAGGACATGTGCCCAGGAGCCTGAAGGTGCCCCTGGCTTCTCACCTCTTCCCCTGGCTCCCACCCAAAAAGAGAGCCCAGTATTTCTGGGGCCAGGCAAACAAGGATTGTCATGACCTCCATAAGGCATTTATAAAGACCAGGCCTGGGTTGGTTTCCTTAGGTCAAAAAAATGTTTTTTTATTACACAAGTGATATATAAATACATAATCACAAAAAAGTCAAATGGTACCAAATTATAGAGTAAAGGTTTAGAGTTCTGTTTAAATCATCCCCTCTATTCCTACGCCCCCTCTACCTAAGATAATTACCATTAACAGTTTGGTATAGACGCTTTGAAACCTTTTCCTTGCCTTTACACACATTTGCAACAGAGTTAGATTTTCTCTAAACTGGTCATTGGGTCGGGGAGGCGGGAGAGGGAGGAAAGTGATCTCAACCGGCTGGGAGCCCCGCGGTCTGGAGGTGGGGTTCATAGCCGAAGTGCCCGTCCTGGCCGTTATACACTATGGCCGCGGCTGCTGAGGGAGGTGCCCCGCCTGGAGGAGGCGCCAGCATCCTCCTCCTCTTCCTGCCTGGGCGGTGGAGAGCCTGGGGCGGGAAACGCTCTCGCTCCGGAGTCAGGCGGCCCGGCCACAAAGCCCAGCTTTGCCACTTGTTTGCTTGAACCTTGGCCAAGCCAGGCATGTTCCCTAAACCCGCAGTTTCCCTGTCTATAAAGCAGAGCTAATAAACAGCAGTCACCGCCTCGCGGGCCTTGGTTCCCAAGCAACGCCTGTGACTGCGTTTCAGGCTTACTCTGCACTCACTGGGGGCGGGGGGTGCAGGCGACATTAGGGTGACAGCCCACGAGCGCATAGCCCACGAAACCCACTCTCTGCCCCGCGCAGCCCAGCGCAGGCCGCCTGCCTGCCGCTGCGAGAGGAGCCTGCGTTCCTGGGAAACCACTTTCCCTTGGCCTCGGAAGCCAGGGAGGAAATAGTTTCCGCCACCTAAAGCCCCCCAGCCTCGCGTTCACTGCAGGGACCGGCGTGGGGGTGCGCGGGGCTGGTTCTCTCAGCCCAGCCGCCCCGCAGCGGCTCCCTGAATGTGGGGGCTCCCTGAATGTGGGCGGTGGGGAAGCACTGCGTCTCTTGGCCTCAGCCCTGGGCCTAGCCCGCAATTCCGGGAAAACAGGGAGAAGTCCACTAGACACCGTGTCAGGCCCACAACAATTACAGACAGTGCCCATTTCAGGTGGCGGGGCTTCCACACAGTGTGCGGGGTCTGGAGGGCGACAGCTACTTTACAAAGGGTCCTCAGGGTGGATCTTCCCCAAGAGCCAGCATTTGAGCTGCACAGAGGAGAAGGAAGTAGTCAGGACAATGGAAGAGCAAGTGCAAAGGCCCTGAGGCAGGGACAGCAGAGACAGGCTGGATGGGACAGGTGGCCCAGTGGTGCCCAGGTTGGATTCTGCCTGAGTGCAGTGGGAAGCAGGGTAGGGATGGGATCCAGCTCATGTTTTTGTTTCAAGGATCAGTGGAGGTTGTTTATAGAAAGCACCTGGCCCAGCTGGCAGGCCAGGGTGGCTCAGGTGTCCCCAGGATCTGGGGCCTGGCACTAGGGAGACATCAAGTGTCCGGGCAGTGACAGCCCCTGTGGGCCGATGCCTGCGTCATCCTGCAGAGGGGTGTGGCCATGGGGGCTGGGTGAGCAGCCCCCCACAGAACAGCCCCTCACTGTCCCGCCACCACCCCTGTGATCGAGCTATGTCCTCCCCACCCGGGAAGTCACCTTCAGTGAGCTACGCGGCCTATTCCTCACACACTCAGGTACCCGCAGATGGGAAGCAGACGACCCTCAAAAAGAAAGAAATATTCAAGTGGAAACGAGGGATGTTCCATTCCCCCAGATTGTTACCTTGCTACAGGTGACCACTGTGCCCTCAGGCCACAGTCCTTGGTCGGGGTCTGCCAGGGGTGAGACCACAGGCTCAGACGCCCTGCAAGTGGCTCCAGGGCCTGGCAGCCTCCTCTGGGGATGGCAGTTCCTACAGGTGACTCCTCAGCCAGGAACACCCCACAGCAGCACATGTCCTCACTCTTACGGGAGCTCAAATAACCCCCCAAGTCTGTCCTCCGCAGCGAGCACCCAGGAGGGGGCTGGGAGCTGGGAGGGAGGGGTCCGTGGTTCGACACCTACGGCCTCCGCTCCACTGCCTCCACTCTGCAAGGAGCCCATCCCACCGGGAGCCGGGGTGGGAGGAGAAAGTGGTACATGCAGGGGGGACTGGCCTCCCCCTGCCCGGTGGCAGGAGACACCAGGACCAAGCAGGGCACCCCCTCAAGCAGACAGTCCCCTCGCCCACCCCCAGGGCCACACACCTTCTCACCAATCCCCAGCACGGCCGGTGCAGGTGTTTGCTCCACTTTAGAGATGAGGAGACCACAACAGAGAGGCACCAGGGGTCCCCAAACACAGGGAGGACCAACCCTAGTCTGGGGACTCCAGAGCGCTCATGGAGTGGGAGTCACATCACCAGTGAGGCACAGGCGACCCAGCTGCCTCCCCAGCGAGTTCTCAGCCAGCCTCTCAATGCCCCGCTGTCCCCAAACACTGCTGCAGGGCCTGATGAGTCACAAACCTGCTGCACTTCTCACCTCTTAAGTGGGGGATGTGATTTTCCCAAACAATTGGATTTGCAAACAAACTCTCTTTCATGTGACAAAAACAGAACCACAGGTTTAGGTGATTATATCTTAACCCCCACACACACTGGGCCTGCAGCTCCCGGGAAGGGGAGGGGCCGGCAGACCCTCCTGCCCTGGCCCCCCTCACCCCAGAGGAACTGCGTCAGGTCCCAGGCTGGGCGCCGGGGAGAGCAGAGGAGGCCCAAGAGGAGGCTGTACCCAGCCTCCCAACAAGTGCAGGAGAGCAGCAGTTGGACTGCTGCAGAGGGCAACTGCGCCCCAAACCCACAAAGACGGGTGTCGGCCTGCAGTGGGCAGGACTGCGTGTGCCCAGAGGCACAGAGGCAGGGGAGGGCAAGGGGAGGAGGGGCTCCCCACGGGGCTGGGGAGGTCTGAGCAGGTGGTGTCAGATCTGCACTTAGAAGCCCCTGGTGGCCGTGGAGGAGGGGGGTGGAAGAGCTGGGGGGGACAGAAGGCAGAGTCCAGATGGGACTCTGGGGGCCGGGACAAGGCCGCGCCTAGGAGGGTGGACCCCATCCGACAGCGTGGCCTGATGGGGGACAGAGACCAGGCCACGTGGGGACTCTGGCTGAGTCAAGCAATGAACAAGAGAATCCCAGCCCGGGGACACTCCACTTTGGAGTTTTCTGCCGCCTAGGCTGAAGGGCAGTGACAGGATCACAGCTCACTGTGGCCTTGAACTCTGGCCTCAGCCTCCCAAAGTGCTGGGACTACAGGCCTGAGCCACCTTGCTCTGCTCATTTTGGAGTTTTAAGTGCCAGTTTCAGTACAGATGCTTCGCAAATGCCAGTGCCACTGGGGTTGCAGGCAGGGCCCAGGGGGCCTCACGGCGCCATGTGTCCCAGGCGAGCCCACGGCACATGAGGTGGGGGCCGCACACACACCCAGACCCCACAAAAGGGCCAACTGCGGGAGGCAGGCGCTCAGTAGGACTCCAATGTGCAGAGCTGGTGCCACAGGCCCGGGCCAGGCCCCCAGCCTCGGCCTGGCCCTCAACCCACCTGGGCCACAGGAGCAGCCCCTAGGCCCGGCGGAGGCTCACAAGGCCCCAGGGCTCTGCTGGCCGAGCCTTAGTCACTGTCACAGAGCAGGGCTCAGGCATCAGGTGCCGCTTGCTCAGCTCCTCTCCAGTCTGGGTGGGGGATCAGGAATGCAGAGCTGGCCGGGCACCCCAAGCACGCGGGGAGCCCTGGGCACTCAAGCACAGGGGAGGACAGGAAGGCAAAGAGGAAGCCCTTTGGTCCGGGAGGATTTCTGCTTCGCAGGGAGATGGGCACTCCTCAGGCCAGTTCCCCTAACACAGCCCCTCGACCCAGGAAACAGACCATCAGTCCCAGGAAGCTGCAGTCCCTGGCACCAACTCGCTGGGCGGGGGAGGACAACAGAGGTGATGTGACCAGGCCCCGTTCCAGCCCCTGGGGCGCACAAGTTTGCTGCTGAGGAGGAGATGCTCTGGGGGTGGGGACACTCCAGGGCGCTGGCCGGTGGGGGAGGGCACGTCTGGGCAGCTAAGGGCTCCTGCCAGGCAGGCTCAGGGGACAGAGCCTGGAAGGGCATCTGGGTAGGGAGTCAGGTGGCACAGGTGCTGGGAGAGGGAGGAGGGGAGATGTCCCGGAGCCAGGGAAGAGGAGGAAGAGCTGGGAAGCGGGAGGAACACTCGGGGCAGGACGGGAGGGTGGCCGCCAGCACTCACCCACAGTTGAGGACACCCTGCCCGTTGGGGGAACCTTCCTCTCAGGGCCGGGTCGCGTCTCACTTCCTCACGAGGGCCCAGTCCTCCCACCACCTACCGGGGAGCGGTCAGGGAAAGGCCTAGCGGGTCCTCCAAGGTCCGCGGACGCCTCCACACACGCAGCTCCCGAGGGGCGAATGCTCAACCCCCCGGGCCCCTGGGACGACAGGGCAGCACGGTGGGCCCTGACCCTCGACCGGCTTCATCTGTCCACCAAGCATATCTTTCTGGAAACTTCCGGGTGCCTACACGAGGTCCCTGGCACTGAGCTAGGTACAGCAGACGTGGAAATGAAACGCCTGGCGGGACAGTTGGAGCTGATCTGTAGAGGCCCGAGCGGCAGAGTGGCAGCACGGGCCACTGCGCCACAGCACGGAAGGTCACCCGCCCAGCAGGGGCTCAGGGGCCGGTGGGCGTTGCAGGCGAGGGACCGGCACACACCCCACCCAGAAATACAAGACTTGCTGTGTTCGGGGGGCTACAAACCACTGCTTCCTGGGAGCGTTTCTAAATCGGGGAGGGTGAGGAGGCCTCTGCCCCACGGAGGGGCCCCGACCAGAGTCACCCTGGTTAGTGACACCATTACCACTGGTCATCCCACCAGAATCGGATATTGTCCTACAGCCAAGGGTCTCACTGGGGGGGGCGCGGTTCTCAACTGTGCCTTGTGGTATGGGGGCCACCCACTGGTATGGGGGCCACCAGGGTACTGGGGTGTAATCAGGCTTTCATTCCAGAAAGATCTGCCTGCTGGCAGCCTGGAGGGCAGGTGCAGAGGCAGGAGAACCGTGTGGCCAGAGGGCAACAAGGTGGGTGGCGAGGAGGGGGCAGACTGGCCGCCCGGTGTCCGCTGCACACGGGGTGGGGCCCGCCCAGGCCTTCCCGTACACAGTGCTGGGGGTGGGAGGGGCCCCACGCGGCACAGTTGAAAACCGACCCCCCCCGACCCCTTGGCTGTAGGACAACATCCAATTCTGGTGGGATGACCATTGGTAACGGTGTCACTAACCCCTGGGTGACTCTGGTCACTGGTGTCCCCAGGCCTCCTGACCCGGCTGCTCTGCTTTTGGCCGCCCCCCTCCCCCAGCTCCCACCCTTTCTTCTGCTCTGGAACTTGTCTATGGCAAACACACACACATCCCCTGCCAAACGCGCCCTCCTCCCGCCGGACAGCAGGCAGGCCCTCCCCAGGCGCTGCCCCTCCCCGGCACCCTGACCCCTCTCTGCTTCCCAGCCCGGTGCTGCCACCACTTGAGGGCCAAGTGGGGATCTCCGCCCGTTTATCCAGACCCTGGCCATCCCAGAAAACCACCCAACACAGAGGTCACATATTCCCAAAGCCCCTGGTAAGCCCCGTCCCAGGGCTCCTCACGGCCCTCCTCCTGTCTGCCAGCCCCTTCTGGCTTCACCCCTTTGCTGGCTCAGCCTGCTGAGTCACACCAAGCCCCCACGTCCCTCCTCCTGTCTCAGCCACATGGAAAAACCGCGCAAGGAAGCCAGCCCAAGGCACGAGAGCCCGGGGGGTGGGGAACATCCTGCTCACCATCCTGGTCCCTAGTGCGAGCCTCACGCCAGCTGGCAGCCTCCCACCTGCTGCCCCAGAGGCTGGGGGCTGTCTCTCGGGGGCTCCCCACTCCACTGCACTCCCTGTCCCCCAGGGCCCGGCTCTCACTGCCTGTGCCACAGGCAAGCCCCCAAAACGGCGCCAGAGTGCCAAGGCCCGCCCCGCTCTGCCCTCCTCCCTCTCCTTCCTTCCTCCAGCTGCCTTCGCCCCTCCCGGCGGCTGCCAAGTCTAACTGACCCCTTTGGGGCCTTTCCTGCCTGCCTCCCTAAAGCGCGTCTCCTCACCTCTCCGCGCAGTCTCTTCCTGGCTGTTTTTGCGGGAGCCCAACCTCTTCTGAGCCTGGAGTCCCGCTGTGAGCTCCAGGCCCGTCCCTCCAGCTGCCTCCCAGGTGCCTCACCAACGTCCCACCACGTTCATGCTCCACTGACTCCAGGGCCGCTCACTTGGCTCCAGGGCTCCTGCCCGCCTCGCCCTGGCGCCCTGCTCCGCCCGGTCCCTTCCTGCCCCCGCCCTCCAGGGTCGGCCCCTCCAGCAGTGACTTCAAGAGTCCTGGCCACACAGTGCCAACGCAGTCCCCATGCTACATTCAGAGGGACTGTCACACCTGTCCCTGCACCCCCTTTCTCCTCTCGTCCAGTCGCCCCTCCCTCCCTCCCAGGCCCTCACGCGGCCCCCTGGGCAGGGTTGAGCCCCGCAGAGCTCAACTCCTCCCGTCCAAATCTGCTCTCACCCCAGGCACACCGTTGTCCTGACCGACCCGTAGGTCCCGCTCTTCTACTGCAGGGCGACTTCCGCACCCAGGTGCCTCACACGACACCCAGTGTGCCCTGGGGAGGGGAGACAGGAGAAGGAGACAGGCAGAGACTCAAAAAAATCACAAGCTACTTGGGCCCCAGATGAACATTTAATTTCGAAGGCCACGTGACAACAGGGAGCATCCACCAGTGTGTCCCAGGCACGAGACCTTCCGGGCGGGCACCTTTGCGTGCCAGCGCCGTGAGGTGCGCGCAGCCTCAGCCCTGGAGCAGCACACAGGAATTTTTCAAATATTAATGGCGCCCGGCATCCCGCAGTGACTGCAGGTAGCTGGCTGCCAGGGAATCTGATAGTGGGCTCTCTGCTGCTGACACACAATGGCGGGCACGTGCCAGGTACAACAGGGGTGTGGCCAGCAACGAGCTGTGAGTCACAGCGCCACGGGCCAGCTGGCCCGCCTGCTCCGCTGGAGTTCAAACGCACCCTTATGGCCGCTCCTGAGCTACCGCAGGGGGCCCCACGGGGCAGTCTGAGTCCCACCCCTGGCTAGCCTCTCCAGACAGTCCCTGCGTCCCCGTCTCAGGCAGAACACCTTCCCCAGCCGGCCTGGCCGCCCACAGGCAGGGCTGGAGCTGGAATGGGGCTCCGCCAACCCAGGATCAGTGTTTTCTGGACGCAAAGGGTCTCCTGGACAGCAGGTCTGGAGAGACGCCCGCCAGGGCACGGAAGCGGCAGGGGAAGCGCATTCTGACGGGTCTGAGTGCCGAGCCAGGCCCTGTGACAGGTGCACCCTGGAAGGCCAGGTGCATAGCAGGTTCTCCACAAGTGTCTTCAGACTGTGCGAGCACGCCAGCCAGAACGAAGTCGTGCAGGTTTAATCATCCTAACAGGCATTCGAGGCACACTTCCCGGATGCCAGCGTGCCGAGGCTGGGGTACGGAGGCCCGACCCTGCCCTGCCCTCGGTCACCCCAGCTCGGGTGACGTGTGCTGGCCACGCCAGTGCAAGGTGCAGGTCCTCTGACAGGAGCTCGGGGGATGTCTGGGCCCCATGCCCACAAGGGCAGAGGGCCAGGGAAGGCTTCCTGGAGCTGGCACCCGCCTCAGCCGGGCCTTGACCCCAGGACGCGGCACAGACAGCGTGGGCAAAGCACGGGCCGGGGAGGGCAGAGCCTGCTCAGGGCTGTCTGGCTCGGTGAGTGCAGGCCAGTGGGCGTCAGATTAAAAGACGGTTCTATCGTCTAGACTCATGGGTGCCAAGCAGCCAAAGGGCCTGAGGCGGCAGCCTGGGACCCACGGGGCTGCTGGTAACAACGGTGCCCTATGTGCAGGGAGGGGACAGCCCAGGAGGACAGAAGAGTTGACGTCCACACCTCAATCCTTCTAAGGCCCAGCAGTTTACCGAGACAGGAAGCCTGGAAGGACCTTCACTGGGAGAGGATCACGGGAGATAACTAGGGACGGAGCAACATGACTCAAGGGAAGGCTGAAGGGACCCAGGTGACCAGCTCCACTTACAATGCCACAGCCAGTGGAAGGGCTTTTATTGGTAGCAGAATCGCCCACCACCCAATTAAGATTGTGTGACGTCAGGCAGACACACAGGTTCGGAGACACGTGTAGTGTGTCCTTGGTCCCTGTAAAGGGGAGACCAAGGCCAGTTGCACGCAAGCCATGTACCAGACCCCTCTGCAGCCCAGCAGCCCCACGCCCCATGGGGACCACGTGCCGGCTGCGGGCAGGTGGGGCAGCATCAGCCATTCCCTGGCCCCACCCATGGCCCCTTGGTGCAGGAGGACTGGCGGGGGGGGGGGGGACACCACACACCTGGCCTCTGCGTCCTCAGCTGACTCTTTCCAAAGTCCTGCCCACGGTTGCCACCAACGGGCCGCACAAAAACCGGGATACTGGAAGGAGAGTGAGGGACCCTGAAGACGCTGCAACCCTGGGTCTCAGGGCTCGAGAAGGCTTTCTCCAGGGTTCTGAGAGTGAGAATGCTCTGACAGGACCGGCCCTCAGTCTGGACATAAATGGGGTCCTGCCCTCAGTCACCCCAGCTCGGGTGATGTGTGCTGGCCACTTTGAGGCGAGTGACCCCCAGTCTGGAGGTTCCCCAGAAGGCAGACAGACTCTTGAAACACTTTGAGGCGAGTGACCCCCAGTCTGGAGGTTCCCCAGAAGGCAGACAGACTCTTGAAACAGGAAGGACACTGGAAACTTGCGAGTGCGCCCCTTTAGCAGCTCAAATTCCTTTACTCTAAGAGACACTAGATCTCTGCAATAGAAGTTAAAAGCCCACTCACTCCCTGCCCCCATCCCCCCAAACCAATGCGTTCCTCATTGGCCTTCTGTTAACTATTTACTGTCTTAAGAACATAATATTAAGCACCTGTAAGGTTCAGCACTCTTCTTCTCATGATATACACTCTCTCGGGAAGACCCAATCCACTCCCCAGCCCCGACACCGCACAGCACCTGCAAAACGCTCTCCTTGGCTCCAGACCAACCTGTATCTACCCACCACACTGGATGTCTCACCCATGGCCAGATCACCATCTCCACAGGAGAGTCAGGACCTTTCCCCAAGCCTGCTCCCTTCCCGCACACGCCCTGCGGGGAGCGGCACGGCCAGCCGCCAGCCACCGATCTCAGAGCGTCCCCTCCCTCCTGGCTGGCTCTGCCTATCTGCCCCTTGTCTGTGAGTCTTGCTCTTCCTTCTGTGCTTGCCTGTCTCTGGGTGCACCCCGGCCTCCCTGCAGGCCTCCCCCAGCCCACCCTGGCCACCACTGCCCACTCATCCTCCGCAGACATGAATCGGATCGATTACTCACAAACCCAAGATCTTCAACGGCTTCCTGCCACTCACGGTGAAAGTCAAAGTCTTGGGCTGGCGCTCAAGGCCCTTCCTGGTCTGCTGCCAGCCCAACTCCTCACTTCCTCCCCCTCCTCAGCCCTCCTCCCGGGGCTGCCCACTGCCCTTCTCCCAGAAGCTGGTGGGGGGGACACCATGTCCTTGTTACTCCATGCACACTGCCCCTTTGCCAAGAAGGCTCTTCCGCTCTCACGGCCTTGCCGCTCCCAACCATCCTTCAACACAAAGCTCAAGTCCTTCTCAGGACCACCACCCACGACATCCAGTCTGACGCCACGCCTCCGAACCCACTGCAACCTCCGCCCGCCTCTGTCCGAGCGCCTACCATGCCCATTCACCCATCTCCCCACTGCACTGTAAGCTCAGGGGCAGAAACCAAGCCTTACTCAATGTCCTAGCCACAAGGCACATGGCACCTCTTCACGTGAGGTGCAAATTCAATAAACACATGCTGAAGCCTGGTGCAGTGGCTCACGCCTGTACTCCTAGCACTCTGGGAGGCCAAGATGTGAAGACTGCTTGAGGCTGGAGTTTGAGACCAGCCTGAGCAAGAGCAAGACCCCATTTCTACAAAAAGCAGAAAAATTAGCCAGGCGTGGTAGTACACACCTGTAGTCCCAGCTACTTGGGAAACTGAGGCAGGAGGATTGCTTGAGCCCATGAGTTGGAGGCTGCAGCGAGCTATGATGACGCCACTGCACTCCAGCCTGGGCAACGGAGCGAGACCCTGTCTCAAACAAAACAAAAAAAACCAGGCATGCTAAAAGGATAGAGAAAATTACTGAATAAAGAATTCAAGTTCATTCTCAGTCAAAGCCTGAGGTTTTGTTTTTCTGATATTATCTGCATTTGAAAGGCAATGTTTGAAACAGCCACTGAAATTGCTGCTTTGAGTTGAAAAGCACTTCTTCAACGTACAGAGTTGTCATAACAGAAAAGCTATGCTCAAATAGGTAGAACATTGAACAGGGTCAGTATTAAGTGCCTTTTTTACAACCTGCTTCACAGTCCTTATGTAAGTTCAACAAGAAACCATCTAAAGGCAAACAAATAGGTTTTCCGAAGTTGGCTCCATCTATAGAGAATTAAGAGCGACACTGTGTGCCCAAGGTCACTTAAACCTACCAGGCAGTCCTGGCAGTTGTGGTCAGTGAGAGCTAATAAGGCCCACCTGCAGGTGAACTTGCAGCCCTAGGGTGGTAAAATGCATTGCTATGAAAACCCTGCCTAGATTGCTAGGTTACTTCTGTGTCCCCAGAAGGTCACCCTGAACCCGGCTGAGAGCCACTGCATTGGTTCACATCCATGGTTCTGACAAGAGCACCTTGATCCACTTCAAAAACCATTCAGAGAAAACCTCCAACCCATCCCATGCCAGGCTGTGGGGGAGCCGAGACGGACAGACGGTGGCTCGGCTCTGGCCCTGCTCACAGGAAAGACAGGAGTGCTTCTGAACAGGGCACTTGCTACCCGACAGACACTTCACGCAAAGGCTTTATCTGAGTGCTGAGGAGATTAGATGAGGATCAACCCAGAATAAAAGGATGCGTACGTGGGGTCATGCCCCTGGCTAGGCACAGAAACCGTAAAATCTCGGAGGGATGTCTTGCCTTTTCTTATCTGGGCTAGTTTCTCCTGGTCCAGTTTCCTTAAAATGAAAAGAACCTGCCCGCATGTCCTCAAGGCCATTTACAGGTACCTACTGGGTGCCTGTAAATACAGGTACCCGCTTTGTGCTGGGGACAGAAAGTGAAGGTGAAGCCCTTGCCCTCCAGCGGAGGGAATGGCAACACATTCCAAACAGAAGGTTCTTTCTACAAACTGCTGGGGATCACCTGC